GATATTGAAGCAGAGGATATTTTAGTGATATGAAAATTCTTCAGGTGTCCCAGAAATAATGATAATAGCTATAAAGATCTGAATCTGGTCCGATGACCGAATCGGATCTAAGTTTTAGATACGAGTCCGGATTCGACCCTCGGTTCTGTCTTTTTAAAAAAAAAAACCTTTCCACTCTAAAAGAAATGTTACTTTCTGTATCTCTCTTTTATGTTGCTTGACTATCTACACTTCCGAACGTATTTGACCAATCAAAAAAGATAGCCTATGTTTTGGACCGGACCGGGCGGATCTTACAGTAATCAAGATCTGTACCCGTCTAGCTCATGGATCTGGGCAGGCTGGAGGGCGGACCAGATCTTTCGCAGAACACTACTTGGAAGTAGTGATCGACAAAGATCAGCTAAAATCTGTCCATATAGAAGTTTTTCTAAAGATAACTTGTTTTTTATTAAGTAAACATTCTAATAAAGTTATAGAGAATTTTGAGTATAATGATGGTTTAGATATTAAGATCTGCTTGGTGGATGTGAGATATAAATATTTTAATCTTTGTGACTGTATACACATCATTCTGGTTATATCAACATTTTAAGACTTTAGTAAAAAAATTAAAATGCCAATATGGTGAGTTATACTGATATTTTATATCAAAAATTTAAAAAAAATGGTGGTATAGTAAGATTTTGCTATAATGCCGTTATATCTAGATGTTAGTATAATTAGAGTAGCATGTATTTACTATAAACTGCTATATAAATAATTGGGTTGGCTAATAATAGAGTTAATAATAGTTAAATTATTGATTATTAGTACTTAACCCTATTTGTACACCCTGGTTCTTTTATATTTTACCGGTATAATATAAAGTGCTGTCAGTCAAAACGTCCTATAGTAAGATTATTAATATTGTTACACAGAATAGTAAAAAATCAGTGCATGTCTAATTGTAACATAGGATAGTCAATCGAAATATTTTATTATTAATAAACTTAATATTGATATTGCGAAGTATGTTATGATTATTAACATGTTACAATTAGACGTTTACTGATTTTTATTATTTCGTATAACAATATGAATAATCTCACTATGGGACGTTTTAACTGACAGCACCTCATATATAGAGGGCCTGATGTATAGAAAAGTCTTTTATATGGCAGTTTATAGTATTTTGTTGATTTAATATATTTGTAAAAATTAAATATTTATATAGTTGATCTTTTTAAACCTGGTGGGCAGGTTTTGTATTAGTTTTTAAGAGAGTATCAGATTTAAAAAAGATTATATAATATAATAAAGTATGATTAGTTAACCAAATTGCAAAATTAAATATACTTATCAGACAACTTTTTCTAATAATTCCTTGGTCAACACTCCAAAAAACTAAACTACAAAAAAATATTATAAATGATTCCCAAGGTGGATAATATTCTTGGTCCTATATAATTAGATGTGTTGTCAATAAAATATCAAGAGTATAAAACTGAGAAGCAGACTACTTTAGATAGTTTTTGTAGAGATTAAGCTTTTTGCTAGCAGACTTCTCTATTATATTTAGCATTTAAATCAAAAGTTATTTTGAAAACATAGAGTAATTAGATTAATACTAAAAATATTAGAAATCAAAAGATATTTCTTTATAGCTATAAAACTTACAAGAAACAATTCACAAAGTCCTGTTAACCTCTCAATTTTTTTCAAAGAAATTTTCACAAAAAGTAGATGATTTAGTTTACTTTCTCCAAAAGATCAATATCCTAATTTTCAAATTGGTTATTATTGTTTAGCATCTAGAAGTGTTTATATTATAATATATAATAATACAAACTAAATATTTATAATTATTAAATAGAAGATTTATAAACATATTAGCTATATGCTTTGATGAAATAAACAATGTCTCAGACTATCAATACCCAATTCTTTCTAATTTTTCTATTTCAAATATCAAAAAAGCTTGTAATCACATATATATTAGTTTAGATATATTAGTTAATATAATTAGTTATAGAAATCTCTATTTAGTTATGTATAATTTTAAAAGTCTAAAACAGACCAATAATCATGACTATTTGGTTTTTTTTCTTTTTTTGATTAGTCTCTCTTTTTACTTTCTTTTTTGATTATATATTTTATTATTTTCTTCTATACTTTGTTTTGTTTTATATATAGTTTTTTTCTTTTTATTTTTTTACAAAAAAATATTATTAGATTGGTGATATACTATTGTAGGTAGTGATCAAACAAGTTATTTCAAGTCAGTAATTTGCTTAGTATAATAATTACTTGAAAGTATTTAAATAACAAAGAAATACCTTATAAATTTTATTTTGGTTATTCATAGTTCATTAATGAAGTAATTGTGGGGTATTAGGTTTACAAAATTAAATAATAACTTTTAAATATATAATAAATTAAAATTTTTAATTGAATTATAATTAATATAACCTATAGTGATGATCACTATGGGTCTTACAGATCACACAGGTCATGTGTTAAACGTGTGGTAAATTAAAAATCACGCTTATTAATACTGTATTTTAACTTTATTTCAGTATTGTTGTTTCTTTCGCCTCCTTGCTAAAATTAGCTTGCTATTATTACACCTTGAAATTTTTTTATTCTTTCGTAACTGTGCCATTTTTGCTTAACTTCATTATAATTTTACTTGTTACTGTTCACTTTATAGCTTTAGCGACATGTTGTAGTTTTTACTACCTACCATACTTTTCATTACAGTGAATTAGATGCTATTCTTTTTTTTGTTTTCTTTATACAGTTTTTTTTGTGCTGCTATCTTTTTTGTAGCTCCAGCGACATGTTTACAGAAAACCGTGAATTCTTCTGATCAGTGCTTTGCTACCGTATCTTTTATTACTGTGCTTTAAGTACTGTTCTTTTTTATTTCTTTCATAAAATTTTTTTTTTGGTGCCGCTACCTTTTTTGCAGTTCTAGCAACACGTTTAAATAGGTTTGTGATTTCTTCTGATCAGTTCTTTATTAATATATATTTTGTTACTGTGTGTTTTTTTTCTTTTTTTATGCTGTTTTTTTTTTGTAGCCTTTTATAAATATCTTATGAAAGGTAAGGTATTAATATTATTCTTTGTACTTGAATGTTAGCTATCTTTAAACACATAAAATTTTAGATACAAATCTGGTAAAATCTACAAGCAACTTTCAGATAAACATAAAAACTATAAATGACATAAATATAGAGCTAGTAACTTCTGAAATAGATGAAATATTGGAATTATATAAAGAAATAGAACCAAATGATGAACAGGAACTTCAAATATCAGTGGGCGCTTCATTTTCGTCTTGGGAATTGGCTAAGGCGTATCTCAACAATTATGCAAAAGCTGCCAGTTTCTCTTTGCGTTGAAAAAGAGTAGCAACTGGTGATGATAGTGAAATTAGGCGTAAAACGTTTGAATGCACACATTCAAGTGTACCTATCAGTAATCAAGTTATTGACCTTTCTCAGCAATGTGATAGAAAGTCTGGGAAAATATTATGCAAATAGCATATAAATCTTTCTAAACCAAAAGGATCAGTGGCTGTAGTTGTCAATAGTATAGTAGAGAAGCATAATCATCAAATGCAACCAGATGTTGCATTATATGCACCAAAATATAGGAAGTTGTCACTAGAAATTTTTAAAAAAATTGAGTTCTATGTTACAAAGGGAAAGATGAGTTCTAAGCAAATGTTATCTCTTTTAGTGACAGACTTTCCTAGTTATACAATTCACAGGCGTGATCTTTACAATACCGTTCAAATGCTTCAGAGGCTACTTAATCAATATTATGGAGAAGCTCAACAGTTTGTTGAACATTTGTTGCAGTTAAAACAACAGGACCCTGACTAGATTGTCAATATTCGAATAGACCCATTATGATAGTTGGCTAACTGGGCTCTTCTAGATATCTCCAATACAACAACAGTGTTTAGTTCATTATATTGATATTGCTCAAACTGATAATATATGTCAAACAAATTGGTTTGATATGTATCTTACTCTTTTAGTTGTTGTTGATAATAACACTAAAAGTCAGTTAGTAGCTCAAGCAAATAGGGGCTACCCAATAGCCATACTTGATTCAAACAAGGTATGCATTATTTATCTTTCTTTGATCCAGAGATCTATTAAAACTTCCTTCTCACATGTGATTTGTTTTGTTTTCTAATCATTATATCAAAACTCATAACTTTCTGAAAATAAAAATAGTAAACAATATCAATCTTTTGAAGAAGATAGCAAATCATACACTTTTTGTCAAAAATTATGAAAAAAGAAAATAGCAAAAAGGTAGTTATAGTTTTGTGAGTTTCCAACTAGAGAGTATTCTTCCAAGAGTTCTTTATAGCTTTCTGTCTCTAAACAAACTTGAGTTTATCTTCTACTTACTGTTTTTAGAGACTTCTCTGGTTTGGATACCAAATACAAAGAGAGTCTATCAAAGAGAAGAAAAGGCTTGACCCCTTTGTAAATTATCTAAAATGCCTGCTCCTTGGTGTATCACGTTTAAAGACTTCATTGACAACAGTTCATATTAAGTAAACTTCAAGTTGTTATTAATTTCTGGTCTTGAGTCTTCTACTTGCTTTTAGTAAAAAGTTGATACAAGTGATCATTAGTAAGAATTAAATGAATTATATTTGTATATAAAACTTTTAAAATATATATTTTTTGTCTTTTTAATAACCTTTTAACAAAAATTTAAATAACTACTTTTTTTGATAATTATTTGTTTCAAGTTTATAATAAAATTTGTTTAAAAATCAAAACTAAAACAAATAATACTTCTAGTTTTATAACTAGTCAAACTTGTTATTAATAAAATTTATACTATATAAAATATTAGAAAATAAATATATATATATTAAATAAAGAACAGTTATATTTATAATACTATATTATATAATATCCTTATAAAAATATATAGTCAAACCCCTCTATAGTCACACCTTTAGGATATAAAAAACCGTGATTGTAAAGAGATGTGACTAATATAGAGGTATTTTCTATATAGTTATAAATAATTGGTAAAAATAAATTTATAATTATACTAATTTTGTGATTATAAAGGAGGTGACTATAGAGAGATTTGACTATACTAAGTAAATAAGTATAAGTACTCTAAGTAAAAATGTTTAGTACTCTTAAAAATCTTATAAAAACTAAAATTAATACCTATTAGAACCTTATGTCTAATATATATTGTATAATAAAAAATTCCTATTTATCTTAAACCAAACCCTAACCCTAAGTAAAATATAAGGGTATTATATTAATATGGTGTTATAAATATAATATTTTATTAAATAAATTATATCTTGAGTTAAACTTTTTTTAATAAACTCTTTTATATATTTAGTATTTAAACCAAACGAGTAGCAAGACAAATTATATTAAATTTAAACTAGAATTTTTAAAACAAAAAGACAAAAAAAACAACAAAAAGATGCTTTTAATTTAAATATTCACAATATAATATATTTTCTTTTTTTAATACTTTTAGCTATAATTTTAGAAAATTTAGCTAACTTTTTAAAAGATCAATATTGTTTACTATTTTATATTAGAAAACTATAATATATTGTAATATAATATTGTTAGACTCTTAGTTAGCAAGTTATTTTATTTGACTAAGTATTTAAGTAGTTAAAAAATATGTTTATATAATTTTATAAAAAAAACAGTTTATAGAAAAGATAAAATATTATTAACTTATAGGATTTGAGTCCTATAACTTATTAATTAATCTCACAAATCCTATAGACAAAGTTAACAGTTCAAGTCAGGCTATAGACAAATATTAATTTGTTTTTGTAATCTTAAAAAGCTATAATTGAATGCAAAGCTCTGTGGCTAAGTTTAAGTACAGATATGAAGCTAAAATAAAATTCTTATAAGAAAACCCAAATATAAAAAATAGATATTATATATAATTATAGTATTATAGAAGACTATAGCTATAAAAATTATATAAACAAGTCTTTAAGAGACAATGCAGTACTAATATTTTTGTATCTTCAGGTTTGACAATATTAATATTTCTATATCCAACTTGTAGAGTACTTGCTTAAAAAGGTGATTAATAGATTGCATGAATAAGTTCTTATTTAAAAAAAAGATAAGAGTATTTACTTAAGAAGTTAATCCTCTAACTAAAGTTAAAAATAGTAAGAAAAGTGGCAAATATGTAGATAGTCTGTGATAAAAGATTAGTCTTACCAGAATTAGAAGCATCTCTGGTAATGTAGAATGAAAATATTATAAAAAGCAAAGAGTATAAAAATTGTCTGACTTTTTGTATATATATATATATATATATAAATACTTTGGTCATATCCATATAGAAGTCTATAACAAACAAGTTTAGGATCTATCAACTTTTAGGGTTTATAATACAAATAGTAGTATAGCATTACTGAAATTAGTATAACTCCTTGGGTATAATTAGAATTGTTCTGATATTGTATAATAATATGCTAAAAGCAAGCATTATATAGTAGTATAATATTATTAGAGTTGATGAACTCGCTAAATATAATTAGAATTGTTCTGTATATTTGTAAAATATATTTTAAATCTCACTATAGCATGTAGTACTTAAAAAAACAAAGAAGGTACCAAGTAACTATATAATATTAAGATTAGAGATATCTATAAATTAAGCTAAGTAGCAGAAACTGATTTAAGATATAGGTTAGTAATATCTGAACAAATAAATAAAAAGTATTATCCAATAATGAAAACTAATTCTGTTATATAATAAATTTAACTAGACAGCAGTTTTTAGCTTAAGATATGAGTTTTTGCAGATTCTAAACTAATACAATCGGACCTCCCTAAATGCAACTTCCATAAATGCAATACCTCCCTAAATGCATGTTTTTGTCTTGGCTATATGAAATCATTAGTGCTAAATGCATATTCTATATTCTGCAAATGCATGTTCACTCAAAAGATTTTTTATATTATACTAACCTCTCTAAGTGCACGTAGCCAATCAGAAGTCAGTATTTAAGTTTGTTACACAAGTCTGCAGATCAAATATTAAAAGCTGCAATTTGATTAGCTCCCTCTAAATACAAACCTCCCTAAATACACATTTTAGGCTAGTCTGTATATGTTGTATTTATAGAGGTTTGACTGTATTAAAATACATTAGAGAAAACAATAATATGATATATCAAACTTAGAGATTATTAAGATCTATAACCTAAAGTTGCCAATTTGAGAATTATACAAGAAGCAAGAAGTTAAAACAAAAAATATAGTCTTAGCTAAATATAGTAAATTTAGAATATAGAAGTAGTATCAGTATAGATATGATTCTCTTTATTAGCTTAGTAGTTTAATAATAATACTTCTTTAAAATAGAGGTATTTTGATTACAAGTATTAACCTTAGTCATAATATGCTAGTGATATAACAAGAATATACTTGGGTATCTATAAGAGTAGCTGAGTATTTTGTCAGTTTATTATATTAAATTAGCATAAACTAGTAATAAGTTATAAAATAGTTTAAAAATTATATAATATATTTACAGATATATCTAATAAAAGGTCACTGGCTTTTCTTATCAAAGTTTAAAAAAAATATATTATTAACTTATTGCTAATATAATACTTACAAAGAAAGATTATAACTAATAGTTTTTATATTAAAGATATATTTATTAATTTAGATAATAATTCAAAAAAAATAAAATATAATTTTAAGAAAAATATTACAAAAAAGATACTTATTTCTAATAAAAATTATACAAAAATTAACTTATTTTTAATATAAATTAATAATAAAAATAATAAAAAATCTATTTTCAAGACTAAAATATATAATTATAATCAAAATATAGAGGTGAGTCAGTAGAAATGCACTATATCTTTTTAATAAACTTTTTTTAAGGGTAGAGGGTATGTAGATCATTTGTCATATAATTTTTGTAGTACAATAAGATTTATATAGAAAATAAAAATGTGCTACTAGTAAAACTTCTTATGGTTGTAATTGATTTTAGTCA